CAAACAATGTCTGAAAAATCGATTTCGGTCCCGAAATATGGTACGGATGACAAAATGGCCCGGAAAAGCCCCTAAACGTCAAAATTTGGTGTCGAAAAAAAAAACAATGGCACGAAGACCCATTGCCCATTGCCCCTCTCGAAGGGCTCTCTTTGGGCTTTCCGAAAAGGTATCACATGTCGAGTTTGGCCTCACGGTTTTAAAGTTATGGCGTTCCGAAGGTGATAAGTCATAAGCAAAAAAAAAAAAGAAAAAAAAAAGGGATGCAACACGAGGACTTCCCGGGAGGTCACCCATCCTAGTACTACTCTCGCCCAAGACGCTTAACTGCGGAGTTCTGATGGGATCCGGTGCATTAGTGCTGGTATGATCGCATCCGTTAGTACATAAAATGCAATCGCATTTATCCTTTTTTGCGGACTCTAGAATCATTCGCCGTGGGTCCCACCTACTACGTGGGGCCACATCAGCTAGTCCTAAGGAGCTTCAAGACAAGGATAATATGCCAAAAAATGTTCTGAAAAATCGATTTCGGTCCCGAATATGGTACGGATGACAAAATGGCCCGGAAAAGCCCCTAAACGTCAAAATTTGGTGTCGAAAAAAAAAAACAATGGCACGAAGACCCATTGCCCTTGCCCCCTCTCGAAGGGCTCTCTCTTTGGGCTTTCCGAAAGAGGTAGCACATGTCGATTTGGCCCTCACGGTTTAAACGTTATGGCGTTCCGAAGGTGATAAGTCATAAGCAAAAAAAAAAAAAAAGAAAAAAAAAAAGGGATGCAACACGAGGACTTCCCGGGAGGTCACCCATCCTAGTACTACTCTCGCCCAAGCAACGCTTAACTGCGGAGTTCTGATGGGATCCGGTGCATTAGTGCTGGTATGATCGCATCCGTTAGTACATAAAATGCAAATCGCATTATCCTTTTGCGGACTCTAGAATCATTCGCCGTGGGTCCCACCTACTACGTGGGCCACATCAGCTAGTCCTAAGGAGCTTCAAGACAAGGATAATATGCGCAAAAAATGTCTGAAAAAATCGATTTCGGTCCCGAAATATGGTACGGATGACAAAGATGGCCACGGAAAAGCCCCTAAACGGTCAAAATTTGGTGTCGAGAAAAAAAAACAATGGCACGAAGACCCATTGCCCCATTGCCCCTCTCGAAGGGCTCTCTTTGGGGCTTTCCGAAAAGGTATCACATGTCGAGTTTTGGCCTCACGGTTTTAAAGTTATGGCGTTCCGAAGGTGATAAGTCATAAGCAAAAAAAAAAAAAGAAAAAAAAAAAGGGATGCAACACGAGGACTTCCCGGGAGGTCACCCATCCTAGTACTACTCTCGCCCAAGCAACTCTTACTGCGGAGTTCTGATGGGAATCCGTGCATTAGTGCTGGTATGATCGCATCCGTTAAGTACATAAAATGCAATCGCATTTATCCTTTTTGCGGACTCTAAGAATCATTCGCCGTGGGTCCCACCTACTACGTGGGCCACATCAGCTAGTCCTAAGGAGCTTCAAGACAAGGATAATATGCGCAAAAAATGTCTGAAAAATCGATTTTCGGTCCCGAAATATGGTACGGATGACAAAATGGCCCGGAAAAGCCCCTAAACGTCAAAATTTGGTGTCGAAAAAAAAAAACAATGGCACGAAGACCCATTGCCCATTGCCCCTCTCGAAGGGCTCTCTTTGGGCTTTCCGAAAAGGTATCACATGTCGGAGTTTGGCCTCACGGTTTAAAGTTATGGCGTTCCGAAGGTGATAAGTCATAAGCAAAAAAAAAAAAAGAAAAAAAAAAAGGATGCAACACGAGGACTTCCCGGGAGGTCACCCATCCTAGTACTAACTTCTCGCCCAGCGACGCTTAACTGCGGAGTTCTGATGGAGTCCGGTGCATTAGTGCTGGTATGATCGCATCCGTAGTACATAAAATGCAATCGCATTTATCCTTTTTGCGGACTCTAAAGAATCATTCGCCGTGGGTCCACACCTACTACGTGGGCCACATCAGCTAGTCCTAAGGAGCTTCAAGACAAGGATAATATGCGCAAAAAATGTCTGAAAAATCGATTTCGGTCCCGAAATATGGTACGGATGACAAAATGGCCCGGAAAAGCCCCTATACGTCAAAATTTGGTGTCGAAAAAAAAAACAATGGCACGAAGACCCATTGCCCATTGCCCCTCTCGAAGGGCTCTCTTTGGGCTTTCCGAAAAGGTATCACATGTCGAGTTTGGCCTCACGGTTTTAAAGTTATGGGCGTTCCGAAGGTGATAAGTCATAAGCAAAAAAAAAAAAGAAAAAAAAAAAAGGGATGCAACACGAGGACTTCCCGGGAGGTCACCCATCCTAGTACTACTCTCGCCCAAGCACGCTTAACTGCGGAGTTCTGATGGGATCCGGTGCATTAGTGCTGGTATGATCGCATCCGTTAGTACATAGAAATGCAATCGCATTTATCCTTTTTGCGGACTCTAAGAATCATTCGCCGTGGGTCCCACCTACTACGTGGGCCACATCAGCTAGTCCTAAGGAGCTTCAAGACAAGGATAATATGCGCAAAAAATGTCTGAAAAATCGATTTCGGTCCCGAAATATGGTACGGATGACAAAATGGCCCGGAAAAGCCCCTAAACGTCAAAATTTGGTGTCGAAAAAAAAAACAATGGCACGAGACCCATTGCCCATTGCCCCTCTCGAAGGGCTCTCTTTGGGCTTTCCGAAAAGGTATCACATGTCGAGTTTGGCCTCACGGTTTTAAAGTTATGGCGTTCCGAAGGTGATAAGTCATAAGCAAAAAAAAAAAAAGAAAAAAAAAAAGGGATGCAACACGAGGACTTCCCGGGAGGTCACCCATCCTAGTACTACTCTCGCCCAAGCAACGCTTAACTGCGGAGTTCTGATGGGATCCGGTGCATTAGTGCTGGTATGATCGCATCCGTTAGTACATGAAATGCAATCGCATTTATCCTTTTTGCGGACTCTAAGAATCATTCGCCGTGGGTCCCACCTACTACGTGGGCCACATCAGCTAGTCCTAAGGAGCTTCAAGACAAGGATAATATGCGCAAAAAATGTCTGAAAAATCGATTTCGGTCCCGAAATATGGTACGGATGACAAAATGGCCCGGAAAAGCCCCTAAACGTCAAAATTTGGTGTCGAAAAAAAAACAATGGCACGAGACCCATTGCCCATTGCCCCTCTCGAAGGGCTCTCTTTGGGCTTTCCGAAAAGGTATCACATGTCGAGTTTGGCCTCACGGTTTTAAAGTTATGGCGTTCCGAAGGTGATAAGTCATAAGCAAAAAAAAAAAAAAGAAAAAAAAAAAAAGATGCAACACGAGGACTTCCCGGGAGGTCACCCATCCTAGTACTACTCTCGCCCAAGCACGCTTAACTGCGGAGTTCTGATGGGATCCGGTGCATTAGTGCTGGTATGATCGCATCCGTCAGTACATAAAATGCAATCGCATTTATCCTTTTTGCGGACTCTAAGAATCATTCGCCGTGGGTCCCACCTACTACGTGGGCCACATCAGCTAGTCCTAAGGAGCTTCAAGACAAGGATAATATGCGCAAAAAATGTCTGAAAAATCGATTTCGGTCCCGAAATATGGTACGGATGACAAAATGGCCCGGAAAAGCCCCTAAACGTCAAAATTTGGTGTCGAAAAAAAAAAACAATGGCACGAATGACCCATTGCCCATTGCCCCTCTCGAAGGGCTCTCTTTGGGCTTTCCGAAAAGGTATCACATGTCGAGTTTGGCCTCACGGTTTTAAAGTTATGGCGTTCCGAAGGTGATAAGTCATAAGCAAAAAAAAAAAAAGAAAAAAAAAAAGGGATGCAACACGAGGACTTCCCGGGAGGTCACCCATCCTAGTACTACTCTCGCCCAAGCACGCTTAACTGCGGAGTTCTGATGGGATCCGGTGCATTAGTGCTGGTATGATCGCATCCGTTAGTACATAAAATGCAATCGCATTTATCCTTTTTGCGGACTCTAAGAATCATTCGCCGTGGGTCCCACCTACTACGTGGGCCACATCAGCTAGTCCTAAGGAGCTTCAAGACAAGGATAATATGCGCAAAAATGTCTGAAAAATCGATTTCGGTCCCGAAATATGGTACGGATGACAAAATGGCCCGGAAAAGCCCCTAAACGTCAAAATTTGGTGTCGAAAAAAAAAACAATGGCACGAAGACCCATTGCCCATTGCCCCTCTCGAAGGGCTCTCTTTGGGCTTTCCGAAAAGGTATCACATGTCGAGTTTGGCCTCACGGTTTTAAAGTTATGGCGTTCCGAAGGTGATAAGTCATAAGCAAAAAAAAAAAAGAAAAAAAAAAAAAGGGATGCAACACGAGGACTTCCCGGGAGGTCACCCATCCTAGTACTACTCTCGCCCAAGCACGCTTAACTGCGGAGTTCTGATGGGATCCGGTGCATTAGTGCTGGTATGATCGCATCCGTTAGTACATAAATGCAATCGCATTTATCCTTTTTGCGGACTCTAAGAATCAGTCGCCGTGGGTCCCACCTACTACGTGGGCCCACATCAGCTAGTCCTAAGGAGCTTCAAGACAAGGATAATATGCGCAAAAAATGTCTGAAAAATCGATTTCGGTCCCGAAATATGGTACGGATGACAAAATGGCCCGGAAAAGCCCCTAAAACGTCAAAATTTGGTGTCGAAAAAAAAAACAATGGCACGAAGACCCATTGCCCATTGCCCCTCTCGAAGGGCTCTCTTTGGGCTTTCCGAAAGGTATCACATGTCGAGTTTGGCCTCCACGGTTTTAAAGTTATGGCGTTCCGAAGGTGATAAGTCATAAGCAAAAAAAAAAAAAGAAAAAAAAAAAGGGATGCAACACGAGGACTTCCCGGGAGGTTCACCCATCCTAGTACTATCTCCTCGCCCAAGCACGCTTACCTGCGGAGTTCTGATGGGATCCGGTGCATTAGTGCTGGTATGATCGCATCCGTTAGTACATAAAATGCAATCGCATTTATCCTTTTTGCGGACTCTAAGAATCATTCGCCGTGGGTCCCACCTACTACGTGGGGCCACATCAGCTAGTCCTAAGGAGCTTCAAGACAAGGATAATATGCGCAAAAAATGTCTGAAAAATCTATTTCGGTCCCGAAATATGGTACGGATGACAAAATGGCCCGGAAAGCCCCTAAACGTCAAAATTTGGTGTCGAAAAAAAAAAACAATGGCACGAAGACCCATTGCCCATTGCCCCTCTCGAGGGCTCTCTTTGGGCTTTCCGAAAAGGTATCACATGTCGAGTTTGGCCTCACGGTGTTAAAGTTATGGCGTTCCGAAGGTGATAAGTCATAAGCAAAAAAAAAAAAAGAAAAAAAAAAAAGGGATGCAACACGAGGACTTCCCGGGAGGTCACCCATCCTAGTACTACTCTCGCCCAAGCACGCTTAACCTGCGGAGTTTCTGATGGGATCCGGTGCATTAGTGCTGGTATGATCGCATCCGTTAGTACATAAAATGCAATCGCATTTATCCTTTTTGCGGACTCTAAGAATCATTCGCCGTGGGGCCCACCTACTACGTGGGCCACATCAGCTAGTCCTAAGGAGCTTCAAGACAAGGATAATATGCGCAAAAAATGTCTGAAAAATCGATTTCGGTCCCGAAATATGGTACGGATGACAAAATGGCCCGGAAAAAGCCCCTAAACGTCAAAATTTGGTGTCGAAAAAAAAAACAATGGCATACGAAGACCCATTGCCCATTGCCCCTCTCGAAGGGCTCTCTTTGGGCTTTCCGAAAAGGTATCACATGTCGAGTTTGGCCTCACGGTTTTAAAGTTATGGCGTTCCGAAGGTGATAAGTCATAAGCAAAAAAAAAAAAAAAAAAAAAAAAGGGATGCAACACGAGGACTTCCCGGGAGGTCACCCATCCTAGTACTACTCTCGCCCAAGACGCTTAACTGCGGAGTTCTGATGGGATCCGGTGCATTAGTGCTGGTATGATCGCATCCGTTAGTACATGCAATGCAATCGCATTTATCCTTTTTGCGGACTCTAAGAATCATTCGCCGTGGGTCCCACCTGCTACGTGGGCCACATCAGCTAGTCCTAAGGAGCTTCAAGACAGGAAATATGCGCAAAAATGTCTGAAAAATCGATTTCGGTCCCGAAATATGGTACGGATGACAAAATGGCCCGGAAAAGCCCCTAAACGTCAAAATTTGGTGTCGAAAAAAAAAACAATGGCACGAAGACCCATTGCCCATTGCCCCTCTCGAAGGGCTCTCTTTGGGGCTTTCCGAAAAGGTATCACATGTCGAGTTTGGCCTCACGGTTTTAAAGTTATGGCGTTCCGAAGGTGATAAGTCATAAGCAAAAAAAAAAAAGAAAAAAAAAAAGGGATGCAACACGAGGACTTCCCGGGAGGTCACCCATCCTAGTACTACTCTCCGCCCAAGCACGCTTAACCTGCGGAGTTCTGATGGGATCCGGTGCATTAGTGCTGGTATGATCGCATCCGTTAGTACATAAAATGCAATCGCATTTATCTTTTTGCGGACTCTAAGAATCATTCGCCGTGGGTCCCACCTACTACGTGGGCCACATCAGCTAGTCCTAAGGAGCTTCAAGACAAGGATAATATGCGCAAAAAATGTCTGAAAAATCGATTTCGGTCCCGAAATATGGTAAGGATGACAAAATGGCCGCGGAAAAGCCCCTAAACGTCAAAATTTGGTGTCGAAAAAAAAAACAATGGTACGAAGACCCATTGCCCATTGCCCCTCTCGAAGGGCTCTCTTTGGGCTTTCCGAAAAGGTATCACATGTCGAGTTTGGCCTCACGGTTTTAAAGTTATGGCGTTCCGAAGGTGATAAGTCATAAGCAAAAAAAAAAAAAGAAAAAAAAAAAAGGGATGCAACACGAGGACTTCCCGGGAGGTCACCCATCCTAGTACTACTCTCGCCCAAGCACGCTTAACTGCGGAGTTCTGATGGGATCCGTGCATTAGTGCTGGTATGATCGCATCCGTCAGTACATAAAATGCAATCGCATTTATCCTTTTTGCGGACTCTAAGAATCATTCACCGTGGGTCCCACCTGCTACGTGGGCCACATCAGCTAGTCCTAAGGAGCTTCAAGACAAGGATAATATGCGCAAAAAATGTCTGAAAAATCGATTTGGTCCCGAAATATGGTACGGATGACAAAATGGCCCGGAAAAGCCCCTAAACGTCAAAATTTGGGTGTCGAAAAAAAAAACAATGGTACGATGACCCATTGCCCATTGCCCCTCTCGAAGGGCTCTCTTTGGGCTTTCCGAAAAGGTATCACATGTCGAGTTTGGCCTCACGGTTTTAAAGTTATGGCGTTCCGAAGGTGATAAGTCATAAGCAAAAAAAAAAAAAAAAAAAAAAAGGGATGCAACACGAGGACTTCCCGGGAGGTCACCCATCCTAGTACTACTCTCGCCCAAGCACGCTTAACTGCGGAGTTCTGATGGGATCCGGTGCATTAGTGCTGGTATGATCGCATCCGTTAGTACATGCAATGCAATCGCATTTATCCTTTTTGCGGACTCTAAGAATCATTCGCCGTGGGACCCACCTACGTGGGCCTCAGCTAGTCCTAAGGAGCTTCAAGACAGGAAAATATGCGCAAACAATGTCTGAAAAATCGATTTCGGTCCGAAATATGGTACGGATGACAAAATGGCCCGGAAAAGCCCCTAAACGTCAAAATTTGGTGTCGAAAAAAAAACAATGGCACGAAGACCCATTGCCCATTGCCCCTCTCGAAGGGCTCTCTTTGGGCTTTCCGAAAAGGTATCACATGTCGAGTTTGGCCTCACGGTTTTAAAGTTATGGCGTTCCGAAGGTGATAAGTCATAAGCAAAAAAAAAAAAAAAAAAGAAAAAAAAAAAAGGGATGCAACACGAGGACTTCCCGGGAGGTCACCCATCCTAGTACTACTCTCAGCCCAAGCACGCTTAACCTGCGGAGTTCTGATGGGATCCGGTGCATTAGTGCTGGTATGATCGCATCCGTTAGTACATAAAATGCAATCGCAGTTTATTCCTTTTTGCGGACTCTAAGAATCATTCGCCGTGGGTCCCACCTACTACGTGGGCCACATCAGCTAGTCCTAAGGAGCTTCAAGACAAGGATAATATGCGCAAAAAATGTCTGAAAAAATCGATTTCGGTCCCGAAATATGGTACGGGATGACAAATGGCCCGGAAAAGCCCCTAAAAACGTCAAAATTTGGTGTCGAAAAAAAAAAAACAATGGACGAAGAACCCATTGCCCATTGCCCCTCTCGAAGGGCTCTCTTTGGGCTTTCCGAAAAGGTATCACATGTCGAGTTTGGCCTCACGGTTTTAAAGTTATGGCGTTCCGAAGGTGATAAGTCATAAGCAAAAAAAAAAAAGAAAAAAAAAAAAAGGGATGCAACACGAGACTTCCCGGGAGGTCACCCATCCTAGTACTACTCTCGCCCAAGCACGCTTAACTGCGGAGTTCTGATGGGATCCGGTGCATTAGTGCTGGTATGATCGCATCCGTTAGTACATAAAATGCAATCGCATTTATCCTTTTTGCGGACTCTAAGAATCATTCGCCGTGGGTCCCACCTACTACGTGGGCCACATCAGCTAGTCCTAAGGAGCTTCAAGACAAGGATAATATGCGCAAAAAAATGTCTGAAAAATCGATTTCGGTCCCGAAATATGGTACGGATGACAAAATGGCCCGGAAAAGCCCCTAAACGTCAAAATTTGGTGTCGAAAAAAAAAAACAATGGTACGAAGACCCATTGCCCATTGCCCCTCTCGGAGGGCTGCTCTTTGGGCTTTCCGAAAAGGTATCACATGCCAAGTTTGGCCTCACGGTATAGAAAGTTATAGGAGTCATAAAGTTTTAACCAAAACAAAAAAAGTAAAATAAAGAGGGATGCAACACGAGGACTTCCCGGGAGGTCACCCATCCTAGTACTACTCTCGCCCAAGCACGCTTACTGCGGAGTTCTGATGGGATCCGGTGCATTAGTGCTGGTATGATCGCAATCCGTTAGTATATGCAATGCAATCGTATATATTCTTTTTTGAAGATCTTGATGAACCATTCGCCGTGGGTCCCACCCGCTATGTAGGGATACCCCATCTAGTCTTAACGAGCTTTGATGCATGAAAAATATTCGAAAACAATGCTTGAACAAGTAATTTTGGGTCCGTAATATAGCACAAATCACGAAAATGCCCGAAAAAGTACTTAAAGGTCAAAATTTGGGAGTCGACAAAAAGTCAATGGAAAAGTTCCATTGTCCTGCTTCTTTCGTCGGAGGGGCTGTCTTTGGCTTTCCGAAAAGGTATCACATGCCAAGTTTGGCCTCACGGTATAAAGTTATGGAGTCTAAAGTTTTAACCAAAAAAAAAAAGGTTAAACAGAAAGAGAGGGAGCAACACGAGGACTTCCCGGGAGGTCACCCCATCCTAGTACTACTCTCGCCCAAGCACGCTTACTGCGGAGTTCTGATGGGATCCGGTGCATTAGTGCTGGTATGATCGCATCCGTTAGTATATGCAATGCAATCGTATATATTCTTTTTTGAAGACTTGATGAACCATTCGCCGTGGGTCCCACCGCTATGTAGGGATACCCCATCTAGTCTTAACGAGCTTTGATGCATGAAAAATTCGAAAACAATGCTTGAACAAGTAATTTTGGGTCCGTAATATAGCCCAAATCACGAAAATGCCGAAAAAGTACTTAAAGGTCAAATTTGGGTCGACAAAAAGTCAATGGAAAAGTTCATTGTCCTGCTTCTTTCGAAGGGCTCTCTTTTGGGCTTTCCGAAAAAGGTATCACATGTCGAGTTTGGCCTCACGGATTTTAAAGTTATGGCGTTCCGAAGGTGATAAGTCATAAGCAAAAAAAAAAAAAAAAAAAAAAAAAAGGGATGCAACACGAGGACTTCCCGGGAGGTCACCCATCCTAGTACGACTCTCGCCCAAGCCAGCTTAACTGCGGAGTTCTGATGGGATCCGGTGCATTAGTGCTGGTATGATCGCATCCGTTAGTACATGCAATGCAATCGCATTTATCCTTTTTGCGGACTCTAAGAATCATTCGCCGTGGGCCCCACCTGACCTACGTGGGCCACATCAGCTAGTCCTAAGGAGCTTCAAGACATGGAAAATATGCGCAAAAAATGTCTGAAAAAATCGATTTCGGTCCGAAATATGGTACGGATGACAAAATGGCCCGGAAAGCCCCTAAACGTCAAATTTGGTGTCGAAAAAAAAACAATGGCACGAAGGACCCATTGCCCATTGCCCCTCTCGAAGGGGCTCTCTTTGGGCTTTCCGAAAAGGTATCACATGTCGAGTTGGCCTCACGGTTTTAAAGTTATGGCGTTCCGAAGGGATAAGTCATAAAAAAAAAAAAAAAAAAAAAAAAAGGGATGCAACACGAGGACTTCCCGGGAGGTCACCCATCCTAGTACTACTCTCGCCCAAGCACGCTTAACTGGAGTTCTGATGGGATCCGGTGCATTAGTGCTGGTATGATCGCATCCGTCAGTACATAAAATGCAATCGCATTTATCCTTTTTGCGGACTCTAAGAATCATTCGCCGTGGTCCCACCTGCTACGTGGGCCACAGCTAGTCCTAAGAGCTTCAAGACAAGGAAAATATGCGCAAACAATGTCTGAAAAATCGATTTCGGTCCCGAAATATGGTACGGATGACAAAATGGCCCGGAAAAGCCCCTAAACGTCAAATTTGGTGTCGAAAAAAAAACAATGGCACGAGACCCATTGCCCATTGCCCCTCTCGAAGGGCTCTCTTTGGGCTTTCCGAAAAGGTATCACATGTCGAGTTTGGCCTCACGGTTTTAAAGTTATGGCGTTCCGAAGGTGATAAGTCATAAGCAAAAAAAAAAAAAAGAAAAAAAAAAGGGATGCAACACGAGGACTTCCCGGGAGGTCACCCATCCTAGTACTACTCTCGCCCAAGCACGCTTAACTGCGGAGTTCTGATGGGATCCGGTGCATTAGTGCTGGTATGATCGCATCCGTTAGTACATGCAATGCAATCGCATTTATCCTTTTGCGGACTCTAAGAATCATTCGCCGTGGGTCCCACCTACTACGTGGGCCATCACAGCTAGTCCTAAGGAGCTTCAAGACAGGATAATATGCGCAAAAAATGTCTGAAAAATCGATTTCGGTCCCGAAATATGGTACGGATGACAAAATGGCCCGGAAAAGCCCCTAAACGATCAAAATTTGGTGTCGAAAAAAAAAACAATGGGACGAAGACCCATTGCCCATTGCCCCTCTCGAAGGGCTCTCTTTGGGCTTTCCGAAAAGGTATCACATGTCGAGTTTGGCCTCACGGTTTTAAAAGTTATGGCGTTCCGAAGGGTGATAAGTCATAAGCAAAAAAAAAAAAAAGAAAAAAAAAAAAAGGGATGCAACACGAGGACTTCCCGGGAGGTCACCCATCCTAGTACTACTCTCGCCCAAGGACGCTTAACTGCGGAGTTCTGATGGGATCCGGTGCATTAGTGCTGGTATGATCGCATCCGTTAGTACATAAAATGCAATCGCATTTATCCTTTTTGGCGGACTCTAAGAATCATTCGCCGTGGGTCCCACCTACTACGTGGGCCACATCAGCTAGTCCTAAGGAGCTTCAAAGACAAGGATAATATGCGCAAAAATGTCTGAAAAAAATCGATTTGCGGTCCCGAAATATGGTACGGATGACAAATGGCCCGGAAAAGGCCCCTAAACGTCAAAAATTTGGTGTCGAAAAAAAAAACAATGGTACGAAGACCCATTGCCATTGCCCCTCTCGAAGGGCTCCTTTGGGCTTTCCGAAAAGGTATCACATGTCGAGTTTGGCCTCACGGTTTTAAAGTTATGGCGTTCCGAAGGTGATAAGTCATAAGCAAAAAAAAAAAAAGAAAAAAAAAAAAGGGATGCAACACGAGGACTTCCCGGGAGGTCACCCATCCTAGTACTACTCTCGCCCAAGCACGCTTAACTGCGGAGTTCTGATGGGATCCGGTGCATTAGTGCTGGTATGATCGCATCCGTTAGTACATGCAATGCAATCGCATCTTATCCTTTTTGCGGACTCTAAGAATCATTCGCCGTGGGTACCCACCTGCTACGTGGGCCTCATCAGCTAGTCCTAAGGAGCTTCAAGACATGGAAATATGCGCAAACAATGTCTGAAAAATCGATTTCGGTCCCGAAATATGGTACGGATGACAAAATGGCCCGGAAAAGCCCCTAAACGTCAAAATTTGGTGTCGAAAAAAAAAACAATGGCACGAAGACCCATTGCCCATTGCCCCTCTCGAAGGGCTCTCTTTGGGCTTTCCGAAAAGGTATCACATGTCGAGTTTGGCCTCAACGGTTTAAAGTTATGGCGTTCCGAAGGTGATAATTCATAAAGCAAAAAAAAAAAAGAAAGAAAAAAAAAGGGATGCAACACGAGGACTTCCCGGGAGGGGTCACCCTCTAGTACTACTCTCGCCCAGGACGCTTAAACTGGGAGTTTCGGATGGGATCCGTTGCATTAGTGCTGGTATGATCGCATCCTTTAGTAACATGCATGCCAATCGCATCTATCCTTTTTTGCGGACTCTAAGAATCATTCGCCGTAGTACCCACCTGCTACCGTGGGCCTAACCGGCGAGTCCTAAGGAGCTTCAAGACATTGAAAATATGCGCAAAACATGTCTGAAAAATCGATTTTCGGTTCCGAAGTATGGTACGGATGGACAAAATGGCCCGGAAAAGCCCCTAAACATCAAAATTTTGTGTCGAAAAAAAAAACAATGGCAACAAGACCCTTGCCCTGCCCCCCTCTCTCTCGAAGGGCCTCTCTTTGGCTTTCCGAAAAGGTATCACATGTCGAGTTTGGCCTCACGGTTTTAAAAGTTATGGCGTTCCGAAGGTGATAAGTCATAAGCAAAAAAAAAAAAAGAAAAAAAAAAAGGGATGCAACACGAGGACTTCCCGGGAGGTCACCCATCCTAGTACTACTCTCGCCCAAGCACGCTTAACTGCGGAGTTCTGATGGGATCCGGTGCATTAGTGCTGGTATGATCGCATCCGTTAGTACATGCAATGCAATCGCATTTATCCTTTTTGCGGACTCTAAGAATCATTCGCCGTGGGTCCCACCTGCTACGTGGGCCACATCAGCTAGTCCTAAGGAGCTTCAAGACAGGAAAATATGCGCAAACAATGTCTGAAAAATCGATTTCGGTCCCGAAATATGGTACGGATGACAAAATGGCCCGGAAAAGCCCCTAAACGTCAAAATTTGGTGTCGAAAAAAAAACAATGGCACGAAGACCCATTGCCCATTGCCCCTCTCGAAGGGCTCTCTTTGGGCTTTCCGAAAAGGTATCACATGTCGAGTTTGGCCTCACGGTTTTAAAGTTATGGCGTTCCGAAGGTGATAAGTCATAAGCAAAAAAAAAAAAGAAAAAAAAAAAAAAGGGATGCAAACACGAGGACTTCCCGGGAGGTCACCCATCCTAGTACTACTCTCGCCCAAGACGCTTAACTGCGGAGTTCTGATGGGATCCGGTGCATTAGTGCTGGTATGATCGCATCCGTTAGTACAATGCAATCGCATTTATCCTTTTTGCGGACTCTAAGAATCATTCGCCGTGGGTCCCACACTGCTACGTGGGCCACATCAGCTAGTCCTAAGGAGCTTCAAGACAAGGAAAATATGCGCAAACAATGTCTGAAAAATCGATTTCGGTCCCGAAATATGGTACGGATGACAAAATGGCCCGGAAAAGCCCCTAAACGTCAAAATTTGGTGTCGAAAAAAAAACAATGGCACGAAGACCCATTGCCCATTGCCCCTCTCGAAGGGCTCTCTTTGGGCTTTCCGAAAAGGTATCACATGCCAAGTTTGGCCTCACGGTCTAAAAGTTATGGAGTCATAAAGTTTTAACCAAAAAAAAAAAGGTTAAACATAAAAGAGGGATGCAACACGAGGACTTCCCGGGAGGTCACCCATCCTAGTACTACTCTCGCCCAAGCACGCTTAACTGCGGAGTTCTGATGGGATCCGGTGCATTAGTGCTGGTATGATCGCATCCGTTAGTATATGCAATGCAATCGTATATATTCTTTTTTGAAGACTTGATGAACCATTCGCCGTGGGTCCCACCCGCTATGTAGGGATACCCCATCTAGTCTTAACGAGCTTTGATGCATGAAAAATTCGAAAACAATGCTTGAACAAGTAATTTTGGGTCCGTAATATAGCCCAAATCACGAAAATGCCCGAAAAAGTACTTAAAGGTCAAAATTTGGGGTCGACAAAAAGTCAATGGAAAGTTCCATTGTCCTGCTTCTTTCGTCGGAGGGCTGTCTTTGGGCTTTCCGAAAAGGTATCACATGCCAAGTTTGGCCTCACGGTCTAGAAAGTTATGGAGTCATAAAGTTTTAACCAAAAAAAAAAGGTTAAACATAAAAGAGGGATGCAACACGAGGACTTCCCGGGAGGTCACCCATCCTAGTACTACTCTCGCCCAAGCACGCTTAACTGCGGAGTTCTGATGGGATCCGGTGCATTAGTGCTGGTATGATCGCATCCGTTAGTATATGCAATGCAATCGTATATATTCTTTTTGAAGACTTGATGAACCATTCGCCGTGGGTCCCACCCGCTATGTAGGGATACCCCATCTAGTCTTAACGAGCTTTGATGCATGAAAAATATTCGAAAACAATGCTTGAACAAGTAATTTTGGGTCCGTAATATAGCACAAATCACGAAAAATGCCCGAAAAAGTACTTAAAGGTCAAAATTTGGGAGTCGACAAAAAGTCAATGGAAAAGTTCCATTGTCTGCTTCTTTCGTCGGAGGGCTGCTCTTTGGGCTTTCCGAAAAGGTATCACATGCCAAGTTTGGCCTCACGGTCTAAAAGTTATGGAGTCATAAAGTTTTAACCAAAAAAAAAAAGGTTAAACATAAAGAGGGATGCAACACGAGGACTTCCCGGGAGGTCACCCATCCTAGTACTACTCTCGCCCAAGCACGCTTACTGCGGAGTTCTGATGGGATCCGGTGCATTAGTGCTGGTATGATCGCATCCGTTAGTATATGCAATGCAATCGTATATATTCTTTTTGAAGACTTGATGAACCATTCGCCGTGGGTCCCACCCGCTATGTAGGGATACCCCATCTAGTCTTAACGAGCTTTGATGCATGAAAAAATTCGAAAACAATGCTTGAACAAGTAATTTTGGGTCCGTAATATAGCCCAAATCACGAAAATGCCCGAAAAAGTACTTAAAGGTCAAAATTTGGGGTCGACAAAAAGTCAATGGAAAAGCTTCCATTGTCCTGCTTCTTTCGTCGGAGGGCTGTCTTTGGGCTTTCCGAAAAGGTATCACATGCCAAGTTTGGCCTCACGGTATAGAAGTTATGGAGTCATAAAGTTTTAACCAAAAAAAAAAAAGGTTAAACATAAAAGAGGGATGCAACACGAGGACTTCCCGGGAGGTCACCCATCCTAGTACTACTCTCGCCCAAGCACGCTTAACTGCGGAGTTCTGATGGGATCCGGTGCATTAGTGCTGGTATGATCGCATCCGTTAGTATATGCAATGCAATCGTATATATTCTTTTTTGAAGTCTTGATGAACCATTCGCCGTGGGTCCCACCCGCTATGTAGGGATACCCCATCTAGTCTTAACGAGCTTTGATGCATGAAAAATATTCGAAAACAATGCTTGAACAAGTAATTTTGGGTCCGTAATATAGCACAAATCACGAAAATGCCCGAAAAAGTACTTAAAGGTCAAAATTTGGAGTCGACAAAAAGTCAATGGAAAAGTTCCATTGTCTTGCTTCTTTCGTCGGAGGGCTGTCTTTGGGCTTTCCGAAAAGGTATCACATGCAAAGTTTGGCCTCACGGTATAGAAGTTATAGAGTCATAAAGTTTTTAAAACCAAAAAAAAAAAAAAAAAAAAAAGAGGGATGCAACACGAGGACTTCCCGGGAGGTCACCCATCCTAGTACTACTCTCGCCCAAGGCACGCTTAACTGCGGAGTTCTGATGGGATCCGGTGCATTAGTGCTGGTATGATCGCATCCGTTAGTATATGCAATGCAATCGTATATATTCTTTTTTTAAGTCTTGATGAACCGTTCGCCGTGGGTCCCACCCGCCATGTAGGGATACCCCATCTAGTCTTAACGAGCTTTGATGCATGAAAAATATTCGAAAACAATGCTTGAAAGAGTAATTTTGGGTCCGTAATATAGCACAAATCAACAGAAAATTGCGCGAAAAAAGTACTTAAAGGTCAAAATTTGGAGTCGACAAAAAGTCATGGAAAAGTTTCCATGTCTTGCTTCTTTCGTCGGAGGGCTCTCTTTGGGCTTTCCGAAAAGGTATCACATGTCGAGTTTGGCCTCACGGTTTTAAAGTTATGGCGTTCCGAAGGTGATAAGTCATAAGCAAAAAAAAAAAAGAAAAAAAAAAAAGGGATGCAACACGAGGACTTCCCGGGAGGTCACCCATCCTAGTACTACTCTCGCCCAAGCACGCTTAACTGCGGAGTTCTGATGGGATCCGGTGCATTAGTGCTGGTATGATCGCATCCGTTAGTACATGCAATGCAATCGCATTATCCTTTTTGCGGACTCTAAGAATCATTCGCCGTGGGTCCCCACCTGCTACGTGGGCCTACATCAGCTAGTCCTAAGGAGCTTCAAGACATGGAAAATATGCGCAAACAATGTCTGAAAAATCGATTTCGGTCCCGAAATATGGTACGGATGACAAAATGGCCCGGAAAAGCCCCTAAACGTCAAAATTTGGTGTCGAAAAAAAAACAATGGCACGAAGACCCATTGCCCATTGCCCCTCTCGAAGGGCTCTCTTTGGGCTTTCCGAAAAGGTATCACATGTCGAGTTTGGCCTCACGGTTTTAAAGTTATGGCGTTCCGAAGGTGATAAGTCATAAGCAAAAAAAAAAAAAAAAAAAAAAAAGGGATGCAACACGAGGACTTCCCGGGAGGTCACCCATCCTAGTACTACTCTCGCCCAAGCACGCTTAACTGCGGAGTTCTGATGGGATCCGGTGCATTAGTGCTGGTATGATCGCATCCGTTAGTACATGCAATGCAATCGCATTATCCTTTTTGCGGACTCTAAGAATCATTCGCCGTAGGTCCCACCTGCTACGTGGGCCCACATCAGCTAGTCCTAAGGAGCTTCAAGACAGGAAAATATGCGCAAACAATGTCTGAAAAATCGATTTCGGTCCGAAATATGGTACGGATGACAAAATGGCCCGGAAAAGCCCCTAAACGTCAAAATTTGGTGTCGAAAAAAAAACAATGGCACGAAGACCCATTGCCCATTGCCCCTCTCGAAGGGCTCTCTTTGGGCTTTCCGAAAAGGTATCACATGTCGAGTTTGGCCTCACGGTTTTAAAGTTATGGCGTTCCGAAGGTGATAAGTCATAAGCAAAAAAAAAAAAGAAAAAAAAAAAGGGATGCAACACGAGGACTTCCCGGGAGGTCACCCATCCTAGTACTACTCTCGCCCAAG